TGATGGAAGCAAAAAAAAAATTCAAGGCAGATGAGGTGGAAATGTTAGCGGCGCGGTCATTCAGGCCTATGGCCTCGGACATAGTCTACGCGATTTCGTCGCCTCGCGATTCCCCCTGATAAAACAACTGCTGCAAGTCCAATGCATGTAGATTACCTTCCTGCTGTGATAGTTTGTTCACAATTAGTCACGTCAGAAAACTGTCACAACCGAAATGCAAGGTAATCGACATACACTGAACTCCCAATTAGTCGTCCGAAAGAATCGCGAGGCGACAAAATCGCGCGAACTATGAACAAGGCCTATCCCCCAATAATCAAGACGCCCAGAAATTGCAAATGTATAGGCCAGCTGCCGCGTTACACTAATCGAAAACTCTGTCTTCAGAAACTAGAGAAAGGAGTCGACTACCTTTCGAACATCTGAGGAACTGCGACTGGGTCGGTGCTCATCTCTAAACTTCTTCTTTTTCTCCTCCGCTTCGCCACTTGGAATGAGATCTTGCTCATTTTCTTGTTGTGGTTCTTCTACACTCCTGCTCGTAGACGACTCAGACGTTTTCTTCTGCTCAAGTTTTTTCGGATGTACCCACTGTTCCTGTGACGAAACTTCTTTCCTGGGCTGGTTTTCCTCGTCTTCACTGTAATTTCTGGCCGTCTGATTGTCCTCCGAAGCTGCTGCGTCGTCGGAGTCACCAGAATCAGCTGGATCCGCTTCCTCATCGCTCTTATCCGCTTCTTCAGCAGTTTCTTCATCATTGACGTCTTCCTTATTTTCTTCTAATTCAGCCAACCTCCTTGCTTCTTCCTCTTCTCTGCGTTGTTCCTCTTCTTTCCTCTTCCTTTCCTCTTCACGACGAAGTCGCTCCTCCTCCCTCTGTCTCTGTTCTTCGCGACGTTTCTCCTCCTGCCGTTCCTTTTCTTCACGTCTTTTGCGACTTTCTTCCTCTTTTCTACGCATGGCTTCCGCTCTTCTCTGCAGTTCGGCTTGCCTCTTCGCTTCTAATTCCTCTTCTTTCTTCTTTTTGATCATTTCTCTACGCGCTCTTTCTTCTGCTTTCCTCTTTTCTGCTTCATCCATAACCTTCTGTTCTTCAGTTTGCTCACGCTTCCTTTCTTTTGACCTGGTATCTCGCACTTTCTCTTCTTCCTCACGATGAGATCGCTTGTCGGTCACTTTACGATCGGGGCTATTGCGATGCGACCGTTCGCGATCTCTTTGTGCTTCGCGTTCCCTTCTAAAAAGGGAACTAGAACACTGAGAGCAAGCTAAACACCACTGCAACCTACTTTTGCCTTTTCAGTCTCTCTTTATCCCGCTGTCGCTCCTTCTCCATCTCTTTCTCTCTTCTCCTTCGTTCTTCCTCTTTTTTACTTAGCCGTTCTCGATGAGGGGAGGAGTCTCGCGAGGATGGTGCGCTGCCCTCGTCAAACAACGCTGATAAGCGCCTGCAACAAATTCAATGACAAAAAAGCTTTGTGTACAAGCTAGAAACGAACCTATCACGATCTCTTGATGGGCGCCCTCCGACCGCAGCCGAAGGAGAAGACCGAGAAACATTTCTTGCCTCTTGGCTGCTTGTTTCACGGGAATCTGTCCTATCAATGCTGCTTTTCTAAAAAAAATCAACAAGTTTAAAAAAGTTTGCAATCTTTCATCTAGGAAGCTAAAGACTACTGCACGACGAAGGCGCAGATGCAGTCCCAGCTGTGTGGGCGCGAACGCGGCGCGCGTATCCTTACCGTTGTAATTTATGCGCATCATGCGCTCTACGGCTAATAAAGCCGCGTTCGCGCCTAAAGATATTGCGCC